GGAGCCTGCAACCCAGGTACATGCCCTTGACTGATTGATAACCGAGAATCAAACCCAAGAACCTTCAGAGTGAATGTCGGTGTTCTGACCACTGACCCACACCAGCCAGGGCTGGAACTGATTTTTTTTATGGGTGGCATGAGGTAGGGATTTCATCTCATTTCCCCCCCAATATGGACAACCAATTGTTTCATAAAAGTACCTTTCATAGATGTTTCTATCTCCCCCCTCTGCAGCACCACCTCTGCATCAGGTTTCCATACATGTGTGGGTCTATTTCTGCAGCCTCTATCATTGGCCTTATCCATCTCTCCTTGTGCTCATATCAGATGGTCTCCGTGTACCTTTTCAGTCCCCGAGAACCTCCTCCCTTGGATTAGCAGGGCTAGTGGCTTCCGGAGAGCACATACATGTCTTATTCATCTTTGCATCCCTCTCAGCACCATGACATAACATTCACCTCATGCTTTTGTTTGCAAAGTCCCCTCACAATCTGTCTCCTGGGCTCCTAAGACTCCCTTATGCAGAAGAGGAAATTAAGGCACAGAGGTGAGATGACTTGCCAGGGTCACACAGCAGGAAAGTGTTGGATTCAGGGTTCTGTGGGATCTTAAAGCCGCCCTATACACTCACCCCATATGCCCAGGCTCTACTTGACCCTCCCAGATGTTCACTCCTTCCTCCCTTCTTTCAACAAGTAGCTCCTGAGTGATGTATGTGTGCCAGCTTCTGTCGGTGCTGGGACTCAAACCCTGTGTGTGTGTGTGTGTGTGTGTGTGTGTGTGTGTGTGTGTGTGTGGAGGGGGAGGCGGGGGTGGAGGGGAGGGGCTCTCTCCATTGCTGGAGACCAGTACGGAGCGTGGGAAGTCGTCTGAGGCCTGGGGTCAGCAGGAGGAAGTCCGGCAGAGGTTCAGAGTCCATAGAAAGAGCTCCATCCTGGGTGTGCACTTGGGGCCCAGGCGCTGCCTTCGGAGAGGACGCTGGCTTCCCCCAGGAATTAGGCGTCCTCCCGCCCTCCCGCCTCGAGAGGCAGGAATGCGAAGGATCAGCTTTCAGCGGAGCTGCGGCTGCCGTTCGGGGAGCTCCAGGTGCAGGCCCTTCCCCAGCGGCCGAATTAACTGGTTCTGTCTGTCCAACTGGGAGAGCAGCTCTCGCTAAAAATAGTGCCCTGCCCAGCGCGCCTTGTGCCCGCCGGGAGCTGGGGCAGCGCTCTGGGGAGTCCGAGCCGCCGACGGTCCGCGGTGCCCGGGGAGCCCCGCACGCCCCCACTCCGGGCCTGGCCCAGGTCCGGTCCCTGAAGCCGAGTCCGCGGGCACAGCGCTTCCCCCACCGGTGCCGCGCAGGGTGGAAGGTCCGCGGGCCCAGGCGCGGCCGGGCCGGTCCGGGATGGGAGCCGGCGGCACGGCCTCCCGCGCGCTCGCCTGGGCCTCCCTGCCCCTGCTGGGGCCTCCCGCCGGCGCGCTCTGCGAGGACACGCTCTGCTGCCGAGGTAAGGCCGGGCCGGCGCGGGCGTGCCCCTTGCTCTTCCCAGGCACTTGCTGGGGCCTTTTTCTCCTTCCTCACGCCAGGTCCGCAGCAGGGGGGGTGTGGGTGGGGGGACAGGTCGGAGCGGTGGGTGGGGGGGGCAGCCATCCGCAGAGGGCTGGAGAGAAGAGCCTAGCGCTCTCTGCAAACTCGCCTTTTGTTTGAAAAAGTTGCGGTGTTGCCACCAGCGTCTGAGAAGTGTTTACCTCCCTTGGCCTCAGCCTTCCTATCTGGAAAATGGGACAATGAAATCATCAAACTTTAATATTTGTTGTGACCCCCCCCAAAAAAAAAGTTGGGGTCCCCGCTGAAACGGACCGCAAGCATTCTGGACAAGTTTGCCTGAACCAGATGGGGTCCTCGAAAGAGTAGGAGGGTTAGAATTGCCTTTTTGGTGACCCCCCTCCCCTCCCCTCCCCCACCCCCCACTCCCACGCCGCCCATTCCCTCCCAAAGCTCTGGACTTGGCATCAGATCTTGGCCCCTGTGGTCGGTCGAAGATCAAGGCAGGGCGCACAGCAAAGTTTCAGAGTTTCAGGGGTCAGCTGACACGCGAAGATCCTTGGGGTGTGTGTGGGGGAGGTGTAGAGTGGTAGAGGGGTGAGCAAAGCAGAGTCCTACTCCTCAGTCGCGTACCCCAGTAGGCCCACAGCCTAAGCCGGGGTTTTATCTCTGAAATCCTGGGGTCCGCACGGAGGGCCTTGGTGGACCCCGCGGGCCCGGGTGCGGAGGGCAGTATGGCCTGGCCTCGATGGGGGTGGGAGGGAGGGGGCGTGTGGCCCGGCCCAGACCCTGAGCCAAAGCGGGGACAGGGGGCGTGAGCCAGGAATGAGGGGTCCGCCCTGCCTAGTCCGGCCTGGCGGGTGGCAGTGGGGGGGTCGATTGGTCTAACAGGTGCGCCCCCGCCCCTCCCCTCCCGGCCTCCGCTCGGTGCCGGTCTGGCGGGAGGAGCTGCGGTGGCTGGGCCCGCGATTGGCCGGGCTGGGCGGGCCGGTGGCCGGGGGAGCCGGCGAGCCGGGGGAGCCCGGGAGCCGAAGCACCGCGGCGCAGGCGGAGGCGCGGAGCCGGCTGGGGCGCGCTCCTGCGGGCCGCCGCCTGCCTGGTCAGCTCGCAGCGCTCGGCCTGGCTGGCGCTCCGGAAACTTTCCTGCTGCCTGGCGATCCCGCGACCCCGCCACCTCGTGACCCTGACCCGGGGTGGCTCTGGCGCCTTTGGGATGTCAGCGCCTAGCGCTCCCACAGGCGTCTAGAGGTAAGAGCTAGAGTCTCTGAATCAAGATGAGGGGGTCCCGAGGCCTTGCAGGAGTACCCCAAGGGATCTGGGGCTCGAGAGGGTCTGGAGGCCCTGATAGGAGATATGTAGATGTCGGACAGAGGAGTGAGCTGAGACTTGGCTTTACTCACCCCTCTTCCTACCTTAAGCCCACTGTGCTGTAAGATCTCTAGCCAGTGGATTGACTCTAACTTTCCATGTACGACCTTGCTATTATCTCTGA